CGTAAGAGAGTCCACGTAGGGGGCTCCACGTAGGGGGGTCCACATAAGCAGGGTCCACGTAGGAGAGTCCACGTAGGGGGTCCACATAACCAGGGTCCACGTAGGAGAGTCCGATAGGTCCACGCGAAAGTTTACTTAGTGAGTTCACCTAGGTAGGGTCCATGTATGGGGGGTCTAGGCAAGGGGCAGGAGGGTCCATGTAAGGAGGGCCATAATGCCAGGCTGCGCAAAAGGAAAGTTGTTGTGAGACTATCTACCTACGGAGCTAGGTCCAAGTAAGAGGGTCCACGCAAGTAGGGTCCATGTAAGAGTTTTAGATATGGGGGCGTTACGTATGTAAGCAGGGGGCATGTAAGGAAAGGCACCAAACGAAGGTCGACTGATAAGAGGGTCCACGCAGTTCTCTTGAGGGCAGCCAAATGCCTCGGCATTCAACCAATACCTGCTTTCTAGTTCACAGCCAAGAGAAGATTCTGTTGAGCTTGACCCTAGTCCGAATTGGTGAAATGATTCAGGAAATGCCTTTCCGCATGTGTTTTCCGCATGTTTTAATGGCTGGGCGGCCCCAGCAGATCCTGCACGGAGGTACACTAAAATACCTGTTCGGCTATATTAAAATCCGCATATTTTATTGTAATAACCGTAGTATTGTGTTTCTCTTCCAAGAAAGGCGTGATTGGGTGCCTTCTCGAGGCGTGTGGAGCCCACATTGGGAAGCTTTGCGCCAGAGGCCGTTTGCGCTCAGTCCCGTCAGTGCACAATAAGCTACACCCAACCGGTTACAGCTTCCAACAGTAACACAGGAATCATAGGGGTAGATTCGGTTGCAAGTTGCTAGTCATTGCTTTGGTTTGAACAGTCGACCTTTATGTACAGCTGACTCTAGCTTTGCACGCTTCGTTTGGCACGTTGGAATGCATTTGACACACAGATAGAAGTGGAGATGTAGTCATGATTCCCATTTCGATGCCCCATCAAGTTCACAAATCTCAGTTCTCGGGCAATACACATATGTTTACATTCGTTGATCGTGTTTCGTGTGAGATCACTAGTAGGTGGGAGGCCATCGCTATTAGGTTGGAGGCCATCCTGTTAAGATGTAGGCCATCACCATTAGGTCCATTGCTAGTAGGTTGGATGCCATCGTTAGGTAGCTGCCCTCCATGGACGTCTTACAGCCATCCGAACAGAGGTGGCCAGGGTTTTACAGGACCTCCGACGGACGGAAGGAACCACTGTACTGTACTCAACACACCCATAAGAATGTGAATCATATAACAAACGCATCTAGTACTGTATCATTTCATGTTTCTTCTACTGAGTAGGGGGTGAGCATGAAGTCATCCGTTAAGTGTTGGAATTACCTGAATAGGGTTTGCCATTCAACCAAGAATGGATGCTTCTTGGTTAGTCCTCTATCGAATCGAATGTGACAGACTTTTTGACACAGCCAAAATGTGAAACAGACTGAATACGGCAGCTCATGTCACGCCCTCTTTATTACCTATGAGATCCGGTTGTAGACAATTGCTTTTAGGTTGGAGGCCATCGCTATTGGTACGTTTGCCAATGCTTTTGGTTGGAGTCCATGAGGAGTCGCAGACCTGCGAAGAAGCTGATCCTTCGCTGCAGGCATTGGTGCGAGCTTGCATAGTTCTCGTACTGGATGGTTCTAGTGATGGTTCTATATAGAGTATACACATCGACCGCTCTTGGACGACCTGACCAAAAAGCGATCAACCAGTATACAGGATACAGTCCGTGACCGTGATGTGTTTTTTCATTTAGACACTCTGAGTGTTTTGTTTTAATGTTTAAACGTTGTTCTTTTGAACCAGGCCCTCTTTTTTCTTTAGACTTTGTTTCTCACCGGATCGCCATTTTTCTTTATAGATTTATAGACAACATTTTGCGGAAGTAAGATTATGTTTTATTGGGACATAAAGATCTTGGCCTGGGGCCCCTGTTTGCGAAGTCGGCATGGGCTGAGTCCCAGTGAGTTGTATGCAGGCGCGGCGCAGATGAGCTAGCATGCACTGTGGAAGTATATATGTTGCTTTGGGTTGCAACCTGGATCGCTGCAACGCACTTTGTGCTCCTGATTGCTTTCTCAAGTTTGTTGCAATCCGCTTGGAGGCTGGCAGGTACCCTAAACTCGTTGTGGAGATGAAAGGGACAATATAGTCTATAACTATATGTCTCTCAATGTACAGACATCGCATATTTGCGCTGCACCACCGCAGGCACAGCTGCGGGTGCTTCTGCAAGAGCTCTCCAACGTTCGCTCAGACGCAGCCACTGTGGCAGCAGGAGGCTTGAGATGTTGGGATACCCTATTTGCTTGTGACAGGGCTTAACAGCATGCAACTTGATTATACTTGGAAGATGACGCAAAGATACTGGTAGTGTATATAACTCTACATGTGTTCATTATCATGTTACATCTTGATATATCTTGACAGGTGTAGAGCTGTGCTGTCATAATTTGTTGTACTCTACTTGACGTTTTCATGTTCACTCTGCAGATGTAGTGCAGGCAGTCCGTGTCACTGGTCCTCCTGGCGTGCGGAGCCGGTGGCCATGGCTCCACCAGTCAACATCCCGCAGGTCAAGTCGGAATGAGGATGAAAACGAAACAATGAAAGGTGTAAAGAGCAAGAACTCTGAGTCCAAAACACAACACACAATAAGGGCTTGCTGGTTGCAAGGGCAAGTTCGCACTGTTTGTTTCCAATAGCAGTTTCGGTCCAAGTTATGATTCTGAACACGCGAGAAGTCGGTTAAAATAAAACCCCACGCAAACAAACGATGGTGACGCGTTTGGTGGCGAGCCAAGAGCCTCTGCAGGCAGACCTAGCTGAGCCGATGACCTCAGGCCCAGTTTGGGGGCACAAAACTAAAGACGCAAAGCCAGCGACATAGTTAGTTTTCTTGGAAAGGCAAAATTCATACAATATCAAAAAGACTGCATATACACATGTTTCGTCGACTGGTGGGCCAGTCAAAAGGTTTGTGCGCTGTGTGCCACCTTTTCAGGCAGGCCGCCCCTCTTTGTTTGCCCGCACTTGACTGGGGATGTAACCTTTGGTCAGACAGAGACTTTGCTGCACGTGACTTTGCCGTTCGGTTTGGCAGAACGCAAGAACATCTGCAACACGTATTTGACCGATGAAAAGGTCATACAGAGTCGTACAGCATAGCCCTTCGACACCCATAAGGCTTATCATGGTACCAGTGCATTGTACCAGGAAGCCTTTTGCATGACTTTGTTAAGTATCTTCTGTCTTACTATCTCAGGCAGCGTTGAATAGCCCCTTTGATGCAGCGTGAGAGTCGTGAGAAATATGTTTAAAGATTTAAGGGGCGCTCGTATTTGTGGGACAACACTGAGTGGCAGGGGGTCAGGAGTCAATGTTCAACTATTGTTCTCAACACCCAACAGTTTCGATGCTTTGTCGAAGACATGAAGTTTGGAAAGAGCGTCCTAATAATTTAATACATACCCAGATTATATATATATTATGTATAATATAGTCAATGAACAAATCGTGGAATTCCTTGGAGACTGGTCTTGTGGTCAAGGATGACGAGGAGGAAGATTTGGAAGAAGGACAGAGAGGACGGAGGAAGGAGAAAGAAGAAAGATACTGAAAGCAAGAGCTGGTGCCTCTAAGGCACTGGTCTTTCAAGGCCCTCTTCAGCATCTAGCCGAGAGGCGGGCCCACACGTTCGGAACTGTCCTACATCAGCAGCTGCTGGACATGTTTTAATCTGAAAGCGAGCAAATTACATTTAGAGAGATCATCAAGATTTGCGGCTGGCGTTTGCATTTTGCAGTCATTTGGCTTTTTGGTACTGCCCACGCGAATACGCTGGCTGGACATGTGGATGTTGCATATACAGTAGTCTTATAGTTTGGAAAAGAGTGACTTCCCTGTTTTGTAGGCGAAAGGCTTGCCCCTTGCGGTTAAAACAGAAACGTTTTGCTGCCAACGGTGGTCATCGAAGGATCGGCCTTTTGTTGGGCACAAAGCAGACATGGCACACAGGAAGGCATACGGGACCCGTGCATTGCTGTTTTGTTAGACAAGAAGCCAATGACATAGTTTCAAAGATGTTCAAGTGTTGATTCTTTTTGTTGTTCCTTTCAGCTCTATTGCAACATACACTGCTCTTCATTCCAGATCATGGCAGTTCTGCACTCAGCAAGACAATCCAGCGCAAATGCCAAATTCACCTGTGAGTGGCAATGTCATGTCGCATACATTAAAAACAATACTTTGGGACACTTTGGGACAACACAAATGTGGAACAATGTGGATGCCATCCGATTTCATCCACTTTTTGGACCTGGTTGCTGCAAGACGCTCCATCAACATCCATCAGCAACAAATTTGTTGTTCACATTTTCACAAGTTGCCCTAAGGCGTTGATGGATTTGTTGATTGAACATTCGGAAGATGAGGCCCTGACCATATTATGACTTGGCATCAAACTCTGTGATAGAGTAACTGCTAGAATCTGCTAGAAGGATCAAACAGTTACAGTATTTGCAGACCGCTGGGTCGGTAGTGGCCCATCCAGAACTAGCACATGCGTGCAAAGCAGGTGCATTTGCTGACATACTTGTTGCTATAGATGGGACAAGATGACAGAGCCTACAAGAGTTCTGTCTATGAACTGTGCAAGCGAGGCAGCTCCGCCTGTTTGGCCAAAGGCCAGGATGCCAGTGAAGTCCGCAGAATACACTCTTGAAAGCAACATACATGCTTGAGGCTGCAGAACATGAGAAAGATGCAACAAAAAGAGGTAGCTAGAATTAGTGCAGTCTAGCTAGCACGTATTGAAACGGGCTGCTTTGGCTTTGTTTGTTGCTGGTTGCACACAAGTATGTTGGTGTAAGGTCTTACTTGCTACAATGCTGCTACAAATGACTGACAAGCTGGCTAGGGAAGATTTCACTGATTTTGTGCATGTGGCGGTTCCACAGCGTGACCACAGTTTTTGACGATGAATGAGGGGCCTCTCCTTGTTCACAGCGAGATCACCAGCAAACTACTTTCCCCCGGAAAATGGATGACAAGGAATTTCTGTTGGGCTTGGATGATTTGTGGCTGCGCATTGTATGTTGCTCTTGGTTGACATCGTCCCAGGCGCCAAGCATGCAGGAATGGTCAAACCTGCTCTTAGCAAAGGAGACTTTGCGTGGGTCAAAGAGGAGAAGAGAAGATACACACAAATTGATACAAATTGTGTAATCACCAACAAAAATCAAGGTGGCGCAACTTGCAGTATGTTGTTTATGTCGCTGTCGCACAATACATGTTTGCTACAGCACCAATGCACCAATGATTTTGATATTTTTTGAACAATTATATATATATATATACTTTTTATATACGTTGTTTATCTTTTGTATCACAATATCACATTGAACCGCTGCTCCTGTAGTCCTGCCACCATGCTGTTTCTTGCAAGTTCGTCCTGGCAGGAGACCCCAGCATCACCACGGCTCGCCCCTCGTGGTCAGGCATGAGAATTGGATGCAACTGACAAACAAATTACATGTCACAAGGGACACAGCTTTACACATAGATAAGCACTGTGAGAGATTGTGTCGCTCATGCTTCTTCAGGAGCTCCCCCCGCCGCCTTTAGGGCGGCGGGGGGGGGGCGTTTGGATATGTCATACGAGGATATGTCATACGAGGTGACCCCAAAAGGGTCAATTGGGTGACTCAGCCCGACCTGACAGGTTCGACAGATCACCTGTGAAGTTCAGCAGGCCGTGCACTGAGAGATGATTTTGCTTTGTTTTGTCGAAGAATGCTCAAGGAATGAACACCTTCATTAGCAGAAGCGCGTGCGGAGGCAATTTTGTGAGCATCAACCTGAATTTGTGTTTGTATAGTTTTGTCGCAGATCTGATGGCCCAACCTGAATTTCAGGACTTAGCGGATGACCACCGTTTCTCCGTGGAGGGCAAAGACAAAAGTTGGCCGGGACGCTTTGGGCGGGTGGCCAAACACCTTCAGTTTGTGCTGTGATTTATGAAAAGTACCACAACAACCGCAAGAACATCAATTTGTCATCCACCGTTTGTTTTCTTCATAATTCTTTCCGATAAGAATCATGCATCGTGTAGAAAGATGTAGCAAGGAAAGCGGGTTTGCCAAGCAGCGAGAGAGACAAGGTGGAACATCTATAGATAATATTAAAGTATGTGTGTTATGTATATCATTATTATAACAAATTGTGTATAAATCCCAATGTAGCTTTATTGCACTATACTAGATATACAGTTTTTGTGTACATATATATACTGTATATATACTGTATATGACATAGCCATATTATATTGGATATACAGTATTGTATGTTCATGTACAGCATGTATTTCCTCAGCATAAGCCTGCTGACCTTTGGCGAGGTTTCTCCAAAAAGGCGGTATCAGCTTTCACCGACCCAGTGCAGAGAGGTGGGCGCAGGAAAATGAATCATGGAGTCCACAATTACCCGTTTATATACTCCGTTTACAATTGCCAACAGTCAAGAAACGTCCAACAACGTAGTGACAGAACACTGCTATTTTATAGTTGGGTGCTAGGTTTCGTTTGGACATCACCTTTCATGGCAGCCTCTTTGGCGACGACTATGCAGAGCTTGGGGCCTCAGAACAGCCGATCCAAGCACTCTTCAAATTGTTACAAAGTATGTAATTTGTCACCTGGCGTGCATCACTACGCAAAATGTCACAGAGGCACAAACAACTTCTGCAACACTGACACCTTCACTCGAAATTGAAGTGTGTTAGACAGCAAAGAGTCAATACTTGTAAATGTTGGTTTTTGGTCAGCGCTAGGTGGCATGCAAGTTTGCGGTGAAGATCAGAATCGCTCGACTTTGCTGCCATAACATATATCACCACTACCACGTTCAGGTAAGGCAATCACGAAAGGTAGCTTCGGCTACCTGAGTTCTACCCCCGGATCAAAGCCCCCCTCATCTCATCTATATTATAAGCTCAAAAGCGGAAGACGCTCTTTGTCTTTTTCCAGCAAAGAAAAGGGCTTCAGATGTGCATCAACCGTGAACCCTTCAAGCTCACAACCACAACGAAAAGCATGTGCTGGCGTTTCGACTCCCCTTCCAATGCAAATTGGAATCCTGAAACGGGAGCACCAGCCCAGCAGACAAAAGTGTTGACTCAAGCCCTCATGAGGATGGCTCGGCACATGACGGTATGCCAAAAAGGCCATCGAAAAAGCTGCACCTTCGCAAAGCTTCACAACTACATTCACCCTTCGAATGTGTGTGGCTTGAAAAAAGAAGATGATCTAAGCTTCTAGGCCTCTCAGCTAGTCACCCTTTGAGTAGCACATGGAGCGACTTCCCCTTCGATTGTCAACTCGGAGGAACATGCCGCCCTCCTGAAAGTGGCCAATCGTCACGACGCCCGCAGACATGCCTCCTGAAGGCAAAGGTGCACCAACCTCGGTGTCAAACAGCTCTGTTCTCCAGTGTTCGTGCTTGTGCATCACGATCTGAATGGTGCCATGGGATGTGACCGACTGAAAAGTCGATGCATGCCCTCGAAAAACACCTTGATCCAGCTCCCGAACCAGGGCTTGCGGGAACATCCAGCGATAGCTCCGAAGTTCATGAGTTTTCAACCTGGCCAAAAACTGAGCCATGGATTCTCCTTCCCTGGAGAGGTGCACATCTTCAAAGAAAATATGAGTAGGAGCCGCTTCCAAAGCCATTGAGTCTGAATTCTCAGCGGCCGTCAAAGGTTCCAGCGAGGGTATCGAGCTTTCACTGGGAACTGAAGAGCCTCCACCCAGCCGCCGAACAGACACCCCTGTGCTACCGAAACCCTCCTCACCACGAGAGGTAGATGACAAAGAACTGGTGGATCGCAAAGGAGGAGAAGCAATCTTTTCCAAAATCAGCTGACCAATCCTATCACCCTGGTGGATCTTTAAGACCTCGGTCCCGTTATTCACCAAAATGATCTTGATCTCCCCGCGATAGTCAGCGTCAATCACGCCACCCGCCACATCAACTCCCCTGCAGGCAAATGAACTCCTGGGGGCAATCCTTCCATAGCACCCGGAAGGAACCTCAAGAGCGATGCCCAACGGTAGGAGCCTTCTCTCCCCTGGTTGCAGCTCTGCCTCCACCGATGACGCTAAGTCCCACCCAGCAGCTTCGGGCGTTCCCTTCACAGGCAAATGAGCTCGTTCATTGAGAAGCGTCACCTTCAAAGCCTCCTCCTTGGAAAACAAACGCTTCGCTAAGCTCCAGCCCAAATCTTTCACAAGGTGGAGAAGACACACCAGTCCCGCCAGCATCAAGAGCCAACCATGATACACCCAACTGGATGGTTCTGGGGTTGAGGCACACTGATCATCCGCCGAGGTTTCAGCCGCCAGTGTTCCAGGCATCATCGACGCTCCAACCGCCAACAACGAAATTGATTTCATCATCTTCATGCTGTCCGGAGAAGGCATGGGGTGCTTGTCCTTCTTCTCAGTGGACTCCTTGAACATCTCTGAATCTCCAAGCCCAATCCCTGCACAGAAACGTTCCAAAGACTGGGTCGGAAGCGCTTTTGTGAGAGCATCAGCCCACAACGAGGTGCCAGGGCGGTGATCCACAGACACTTCCTTGAGTTTCACCGCTTCTGCCAGAGCGCTTGCCCGAATCCTCAAATGCCTCGTTCGCCAACCTCCTCCAGATCCCGAAGCTAAGATGAGTGCGGCCCTGTTGTCATTGAACAGCTCCAAGTCCACATCCTCAATCAGCAACGAGACCAGTGACCTGACGGACCTTCCGGCTTGCAACCCCTCCACCAAAGCCCTCAGCTCCGCCTCCGCAGTCGACAGTGACATCAGGCTTTGCTTATGGCTCTCCCACTGAATCGGAGCTCCTGCAAGCAGCACCACAGTTCCTGTGATGCTATGACCATCGCCTGGACCAAATGAAGCGTCCACCAGCACTTCCAAGGTGCCACCACGTCGTGGCTTCCTTCTCTGAAGGTCTGGGTCAGCATCGACCGGCACTTCCTTAGAGTAGTGCAGGCCGTAGTTGACGGTGTGCTTGATGTATGCCAGAACAGCCCGTCCCAGCAAAATAGTCCAGCGAGGCTTCTTGACAGCGCATTGAGCCATACGCATCACAGCCCATGAAATGTCAGGTCGAGTCTTCCCTGACAACCAAAGCAACTCCCCCGTCACCTTCTGGGCTTCCCTCACCTTGGGCAACGACGGGGTTTCTTCCTCCTCCATGTCCTCCGGCACCTTGATGAAGGGGGACGGTGAGGTGCCCTGGTGTCGATCGATGATTTCCCTCGTATAGCATCCTTAGTGCACAAAGTACGATAGCCGCTGAATCTCCATGCCCAGGAACCTCATAGGAGCACCGTTCACGATGGCATACTCCGGAGATGAAGTGGACCACCTGCCTGAATGGTACTGGAAGCGGCCTCTGTTACCATTTTGGGACCAACCATCAGGATGTCGTCGACATACACAATCATATGACCAAGGAGAGCGCCCCATTCCTTTGACCCATCCTCCGCCATCGACTTCACTTCTTGAATGGCCCAAAGATTTGGGTCTTCCATTGGACGAAAGGCAAATTGGAGAACTCCCCCATCCTCTTGATGTTGAACCCCACCTGTCAGCGAGCCTCCCATCTTTTGAAGCTCCGCATCTCGAAAAGAGCTCCAATCTTTGGGCGAAGTGATGAGCCCGTACATGGCTGAGGTGACTAGCCAATGTTCACCAGGCTTGGCGAGCTTAAGGGCCTCCTCCAAAATTTTTGGCGGTCGAACAATGACCGTTTCTCCTTGAGCTTTTGGTGCCAGGAGAAAAGCCGATTTCACATCCAGGGACAAGCATTCCCATTGGTTGAGCGAGGCAACACGAAGCGCGGCCCGCAACTGTGTTGAATCAGCTCCAGAAGCGTAGATCTCCTCACCAGAGCGCGCCTCCATGTAATTCCCACAGCACACGATTCTTGACCTCCACCTCCCGTCCCCCGCCTTGCGAGTGAAGACGCCCATGCCAGGGATGAGTTCAGCACGCTCCCCCTTCTCCTGAGCTTGGGCGATGATCTCCTTGGTTTGGTCTTCAGTGATCCGCTGAATGGCCTTGTTGGCGTCAAAGTTGTTGATCTCCGTCTGCAACGACGGAATCCAGAGTGGCAGCGTTCTCTTCACCTCCTGAAGACTCACCGTCCTGGTCTGGAGAAACAGCTGTTCTTCATCCGCCACCTGAACCGCCTCCGCCTCCAAACGCTTCATAGAGGTGGATTGAGACTTGACCAACTCCTCAATGTGCTCATTCTCCGAGTCCAGATCATAGACCATGCCGACCAACCCGTCATTCTCCGCCAAGTTGTTACTCAGACGACCGAACTCTTCATTCGCCCAAGCTTGGCCTCGATGAAGTCGGCATTGGAGCTCTTCCGTTGACAATGCAGACAGGGCAGTTTTTTCAGTCAATCTTCGCCGAGGAACGACAGAGTGATCCAGGATATGTGCATGGTCGGCCCTCTCCTCCACAGTTACCACATCCGTCAAGGAAGGTGGATCCTCCGCCGAGACCAAATCGCTCGTTCGAATGAACTTGCCCTTCTCCACCTCGACGATGTGGCCCCCACTTGTCAGACTCATATCTGGATCTGGTCCTCGAATGATGCCAGGCTTTTTTCTTGCTCTCCAGTGCCCTTGGAAATCATCCCACCCTTTGGTGGTGACCATGACCTTTCGACCCCACGGCAACAAAGCTGGGGTTGTGAAGCCCAGTGCTTGAAGTTGCAGGCGTCCTCGACGTTCACCCACATGTTTCGCCATCAGAGGCCATTGTTCTTCCCCTTCACCTGACGAGCGAATCAGAGTGTTGATGCTCCTGCGGATGATTCCAATCTCCGCTTCAGCTCTTCCATTGGCCTTCCAATCGCTGCCACTTGTGGAGGTCCGGTAAATGCCCCTCTCCGCACACCACCTTTTTGTGCTTCTCATTTCCCCTGCAGCGTCACTGTGGATGCGACGAACCTCCAAGATACTTCAAACGGGCCACCATTCGAGCAATTCCAGAGTTGAGCTCTGAAGCATGACGTGAGGTGAGCGTCTCGACAAGGGTGTAGTTCTTGATGATAACCTCTTGTGATTCCACCTCCAGCCTCTCCCATTCTTCCAAGGCTTTTGGATCACCTTCCCCCACCTCCGGCTCCTCACCCTCCAGCTCCGGCATCAAGGGCCCTTCTACATCTTCTGGAGGATCTTCATCTCTCAATACCTCCTTGATCTTCACCGGAAGAGGGTCTCCCCCATCCGATGTCTTTCGCACTGGGATCGCATAGACACCCACAAGGAAGTAGCGCGCCTTCTTGCGATAGTCCTCCCCAGGTCTGAACGGTCCACACACATCCAGGCTGAGGGTCATGGCATCCGGATGAGGCACCTTGCGGTGCGGACGGCTCCCTTCAAACAGGTTGTGCATTCCCGAGAAAATGGAATGCGATCACACAGTACATGAGCTTTCCACTGGTCAGCCGACATCTTTGAAAGGCCCACCACATCGTCCACTGGAGAGTTCAAAGCTTTTCCATCCAGCTCGAAGATGATGCCCTTAGTGATTTCTTCTTTGAACC